ATATACATATATGCCTATATAGTATTTTTTTTCTTTTTGGAATAACCGTCCCGGGGCGTTTATTGTTGAGAATGGTTTTGAGTGGGCGGGGTATTCAAGGAAGGCATTTATTTTTTTTAAAATGTAAAATGGACATGTATATATACTCAAATAAACGCCCCTTAATGTCATGTGAATGTAGAACTACGGTACAACACATAATTACGGTCAAAATGTGTTGTTGCGTGCCGCATTAATCCAAACAAGGTTAGAAAAATGGAATTCTACTGGAATAGAATATTAATAGAATATGTTGAGAATGACGTTACTTCCATTAGTTTTAGTTACAGTTAAGAGTTAATAATATATGTTTTATTGTGGTGTCACGAATAATGGATGGTTTAAGATAAAATTGTAGTTTATCTTTTGGCTGTGGTGCTTGTGATTGTTGTTTAGACCACAGACATTGGTACATGTGGTGTGTGCTGAACCGTGGAGATCTCTAGGTCCCCGGTTCAATTACCATCGCTGCCTCTCCCTGTGTTTCAGCTAGAGGGCTGAATTACAAGTTACAATAGCGCACCGTCTTTCGGATATGACGATTAAGCCATTGGTCCCGTGTGCATTATGGCCCATGTGCTTAAAGAACGCACACTCTTCGGAAAAGAGTAGGGGATTTTCTCATGGTGTACTGCCCAATCACCACCAGAAGGACCCTACTGGAAATAAGTCTTCTTCTAGACTATCCTTGGTGTTTACACCGAATAAATCCAATCCAATCCATGGAATTTAAACAACATTAGCTTGCTTTTGAGCATTTTGCACCCTCATTCTCCCTTCTTTTTCTTCTCTCTTTTTCCCTTCTTTTTTCGGGGGTGGGGTGCTATCCCCATGCCCCCTAGATGCGCCTCTGATGTTATATCTTCTGTACAAAAAAATATAAATATATCGCCTCGCTTGTGGTCTCGCCTGTGCACAGTTCATTTTTTGTTTGCATCTAGAATAGAATTCCAGTTTACCGCCCTCAACATTACAGCAAGTAAACAAAATTTAAAGTTATAAAAAGCGCTGTCGTTACTTTCATAATCATTTGCCTTCAAGATACAAGTTGAATCAGACGTAACAGGCACCAGCGAAAATGAGTTCAGGTGAGTACCCCTAGTATAGAACTTTTTCATAGTTTTTTTTACTCTAATTTTAATACGTAGGCCTATTAGCCTATTTATTAAATAGACTTATTGGATCAGATGAGATATAATGTACCGTATTTCTTCTTTATAGTCCACAGCAATAATATTGTCACTTAGCCAGGTTAGCCTAGGATTAAGCCTTGGCGAGACTTTTTTTATTCCTTGTTTCGCGTACTTATTTTTTTAAAGATTATCGGATTAGGGCAGAATAAAAAAATGTTGTGTTATTTAGCAAATAGTTTTGCCAAAATCATCCAGACGGAGGAGAAAATAAAAATAACATTTTATTGATGAATGTAAAATAGCATGTTTAAATGCTTCAAATTTATATAATTAGGAAAAATATACATAGGGCCTATCTTATCTTTGGAATTTCAAGGCAGCGGAGGACGTACTGAAATTAAAGACAAACTTTTATTTTTTTCTCGGTGCGCTATTTTGGCCGAAGATACAATTTTATTTTTATTCGAAATCACCAATATTTGCAGTCGGCGGGTTCTCTAAAGAAGATATAAAAAATCTCGCCACCTGCTAAAAGTAGGTGAAACGTCAACAAATGTAAATTCATACATCACTTTATTTTGGATGATACTGATTTGAATTAAATCGACAATTAATTTTATGATTTAACATACAGTGATCATACCGGTACTGTACCCACGAATTAAATTGAAGTATCTTTGTGTATGAATTTAACACGTCTATTTTAACAATGATAAATTAGATGGATTTTTTTTTTTAACTTTAGAAAAGTCAATGTATGTCTCTGACAAGAAGGGAAGTGATGATGCAGGCGATGGTTCCGAGCAGAAGCCTTTCAAAACATTACTAAAGGTAGGCCTAATTAGAAAATTCGATTCAGATTTACAGATTTTATTGAATAAAAACACTTTTAAATTATGAATATGACAAGCAAACCATGGATCACATTCCCGATGCGTCTTGTGTGAAATATATACATTACTATTAAAAGATTTTCGACTTTACAGAATTATAAAATTTAAACAAATCATATCATTTTTAAAATTCTGTATCTTTGTGTTTTATACTGACAATACGAGCAAGGTAAATTAAATTTTTGGCGAACTTTTGGTTATAGATTTTGGACAGTTTACCAGTACATTTCTGGGGCCACTATTGCCCTTTTAAGCCCATATCTCATAATAGCATACGGCCTATAAATCTTATAAATTCTAATTAGCATCAGAGTTAATTAGTAAGTTTTCAATATGAAAAAAAATTGAAGAGAGGATTAGTCTCTCAGGGAGTGTAGGGCCTCGATGTTGTTGGTTCGTTTAATATTGCCGTTGGTTGTACTAATCAGGATATTTTGTTTGACTGCGATATCCTGAGTTTCTAGTTATAGTTCAAGGTTGATTTTACAGAATATAAAAGTGTTGGAGCCTATTATAACAGTGTAATTATTTAAATAGGGCGTACTAAGTTATCGGAGTACTGTATTAATTTAGTTCACCAAAATTGTATAATGTTACAAATGCGTACGTACAATATTTATTTTTTTTAAGTAGCAATTTAAATCATGCAAAAAGAGGAAAAATCATCAATTTTTATACCTTGCATTGCGGCCCACAACATGATGGTCGAAATACCCCTATTTTGTTTTTGAAATTTTAATATAGTATTATTATAATGTATACTAACTACCGGCACCCTACTTATTTTAGATATGCAAATTTCTATTAATGTATCTATACAAAAAAGAATAGTGTACCATATAAACGCATTTTTTCGATGAAGCTTTTCTATAATACTCTCCAAATTTTACAAATATTACATTAGTTTAATTTTGTTATATTCTTTATTAATTATATATTTGTAAATATTTATATTATATATTTTATATTCTGGAAATACATATTTTAATCAGTTTACCTTCTTTTATAAAACCTTATTTTTTGCACATGTATTGTCGTTTATATAGTCGAATGAATTACCCTCCCCCACTCCTAAAGAAGAAAAAAGCTCAGCTGCTGCCTATTTACACTTTTTGCCAGCTAAAATCACTCTACAGCGCCGGATCTAGAGATGTCCTAAAGGGGGGGGGGGGGGGGGTTGGCGGGGGGGGGTGTTGGCGAAAGGAGGCCGAAAGTGGGCCGATCGAGATAACACCACCCCCAAATCCGCCCCTGCTCTAACATGTTAAGGGTGGTGGGGAAAGTCAAATTACCCTTTAAATAAAGAATAACATGAGCCAATAATAATTTTGTTTATAATGTTCAAGCAGGTAAGATAGACATAGGCCTACAGGTAAAGAATATGTTTAAAATGGATTATACAATACATGCTAAATTTGATGGATGTAGACACTCCTTATTCGTGTTGTATTGACTTATTTTAGTGATTACATGGTCAGGAGTTTATAATATTTTTATTACGTTATTTAGTAAACATATACGCGTGTATGTATCAGCCGCGATCACTGAAGTGATAGTTCCACTTAGCTCTGCTGCTCCTTTCTCCTTACTGTACTAACGTAATTTGAATAATGAATTCTCATACCGGTATGTGTTGCTTCTGTAGCGTGATGATAAGTCCTCGTCCAATATTTTGTAGATTCGTAAAATTGGTTTTTTTTAAATGATATTTTAATAGCTATAAAAAGAGCTCAAAATATGCCAGTAACAATAAGACATTTAAATGCATGGTGGTACGATATATTTCTTCAAGAGCTGTGCACGCGTCTGGACGGCAAATCGGCACAAACATTAAGGCCTTACTCAATTTATAATATAGATTGTCATCAGATAATGATCGGGAAGTGTTGCAACGAGATACTTAAGATCTATATGTGGCTTAAGGTTTTCCGTCTCTGACATATCTTAACCTCTTAACCCCCACTTTCCGTATTCCCGCAGTTAAATCATGTAGCCGTTCAAAGTTAAAGTAAAAAATTCCCTTGCTGTGTTGTATAGTATGATTCTGAGAATAGACCTTTTCATTAAGCCCCGCTCCTTGAATATTGTTGCAAATGTCCCACTAAACGACAGTATACGATTAAACCAACTTAAAACTTACGCAAACACTTCATTTGCGGGACACGTACGTGTACGTATTCCTGACTGTGTTCTGATTGGTCAGTTGTTAAGTAGGCCTATGATGATTGACATACGGGAAGGTCCAGTGCCTTCCAATCACAGGGTCCTGAGTGATGGATTTTTTCTCTGTTTCTACAAACGTCGCCCATTTATACAACCCCGTCAACAATGTTTATATTCAATCGTCACCCTCTCATGTGATATGGATTTCAGTGATGTAGAATAAGCCTAGCTATAGTATTGTCGGGATCGAAAATACAGTCTTAACAAATGGAATATATAATTGTAAATAATATTAATACATAGGCAGAGGGTTTTTTCCCAGGCAGCTCTGAACGAGAAGGGGCTCACGCTACTGAGACCGCAGCGCTCGAAAACTGGATTATGCTGCGGTGGTTTATAACATTTAAATTACAAGACCCATTATCTGCTTACATTATTACTTAAATTAGGCCTATATTTTTCGGCTTTTTATGGCTAAAACCGCAGTGTTGCAATATATACATATATAAACACTAGGCATATATACATATTTTAGTTTAAAAAAAACAAAAAACTAAACAATACCGTATCTAAAAAACCCAGGAGACATCAACGGCGTGTTTAGAAGTCTTAAAATTGGGGTGCTGATGGGAGGGCGCGAAGGTGAAGTGGGGGCTCGATGATCAGTTGAGGGGCGCTAATTCGCAAAATATGGTGATTTTTAACTAATTGACCGTGATTCACGAGTATTTTTTGGGGGGTGGGGCGTGCGCCCCCACGCGCACCCCTACGTACGCCACTGGGAGACATATTAAATTCAATTCAATTCAAATTCTAAAATGATATATCCAAGAAAGAAATTCAGTTGGTCATGGCAAAAGTATAAAAACAATTTAGAATGAAAAAAGTATATGTAAATGATTCAGTAATCTCAATTCCAAATGTTAAAATCCAAAAACATGTAATGTATTCACTATCTAATCTTCTTTGCTGAAACTTGTGTAGGGTGAAATTGTAAGAGGTTGTATCTGACTGATAACTAACATTAAACAAATTTCCCATATCTCTTTAAGCTGAACCAGTCGAGTAATTAGTTTAAATATTGTAAACACACTCTTGAATACTGATAAAAAAAAATATATATATATATATCAAAAGTATGTGTTGACACAGCGGTTAAACATGACAAAACATTGATATGGCATAAATTATTAAATTATATTATATCAGATCAGATCTGTAATTCAGAATACAGAAGGATAGCAGTATGCTATTGATACCATATTATCTATAAAAACATAGGGCCTACATATATATATCACTTTATCCCAAAAATGGTAGGATCTCAATAATCTTTGAATTTACAAATTTCATCAAAGCTCACGCGTATGTACAATCACAGTCTTATTAATAAACGCAACCGAATCAACAATTTCCAAAAATTTCTATTGCAGGCAAACTCACGTAAATAATGTAAATCATAAGTACACATTTGTAAATTTCTATACGTTAAATCTCCGATAAACAGACAATAATAGGCTATGATATAACCAAATTTAAATGAACCACCTCAAAACTATTATATTATTTTATACAAAACTTCGCATGTTACGACTACAGCAATGTACAATATATTTTAAAAACTGAGGTAATATAGTCTGATGCAATATATCCACATAATATATAACAGGATACTGATGAGCACGTAGGCCTATCTCGGCTTTGTCTGATTTTATTATGCTAAACTCTGTAAAGTATCGATTAAGCTCGCTGCTCAAACTCCGAAATCCATGGTATAGGATGTTGACCTCGAGGCAGTTTTTTTAACTTTTAAATATAATTTAAATGAATTCCTATGAATCCTATGTTGACAGAATTCTTTACTTCACACGATAACGCAAATGAAGAACACAACAGTTTTCACTATTTAATCTGATGTTGCTCTTGAACTTGAAACCGCGTGATAATGTTAATTGAGTATATAGTTGATAAAAATCCATATCTCCGATATCAGAATTAAAAAAGAATAATTATTACAAAACACAATCGTTCATAGTTTAATTGGTCGTTATTATCATCGTTATCATCGATGGAGTTTGAACATTTGGTACTTATAAACACCGATGATTGACTGATAGATTGAATTAATGTGTTGATTGGATCATCGAAGTGAAGTACATTAAGATAAAAACTTGTTCACACAAAGTACAATGCACTGACATAGCGGTGGTATTTAAACAGTTACTGTATTGATATAGTAGTACATTATTAAATGTGGCAAAATCTTAACTTAGTACCTTCCAGACTATGTAAATTCGGGATACGAAAAATTAAGAGAAAACAATTTACGGTACTATATTTAAACTTCTTGTTATCTAGAACGATATATAAGTAATTTTGTATCTATCTGATATGTTTTATCTGGTATAAATATGTTTCAAAAATGTGTAAACAATAAAAAAAAAACAATATTTAATCTAAACTTCTGCTTCAATAAAAAAAAAAAAAAAACCTTCATTTACTTGATAGGCTATGAAAGCATCAGGTGAACCGTTTCCCAGGTTTCTGGTGGATTCCACAAAAGAAGGACAGGTAAATTGCAACTGTCAAATTATGTATTTCATTTACTAAATGTTTATCATACTCTAAAACCATCATTGATATAATTATATTTATTCATTCTATTATGATTAAGATTGTTGTTAGTGGTTTCTTGGTTTGACATAATCAAACCAACATACTTATACTTATACATACCTGTGAAATAAAAGAAGAGAGATATGTTACTTATTGTACTTTAAAAAGTTCTTTGTTTATCTGTTCAATATTTTATTTTTATCGAAATCTTTCCTTTAGAGATGGGAAGAGGTTTCTCAAGCTCAGCGAAAGAAAGTTGCTAAAATATATGCGGCGGAGCAACGAAAGCAAACAGACAGAGACGAGAAAGAAGTATGTAAAGATAACAAAAATCATAAGCAATGTTATTGGCATACTGCCAATTTAATCCCAACAGTGAATAGCTTATAATTATTTCATTGGAGCAGCAGGTTTCCATAAAATCGCTGCATTGATCGTCGACAGCTTTTGGCGACACTGAATGGTCGATTACTACGCAGTGTAGCGATTGCAGTGAAAACACTGTAGCGATATTGTAGGGATTTTATGGAAACCAGGCTTAATTTGACTACTATAGGTGGTTTAGCATTGATGTTTATTTACTATTGTTCCGGGTCTCATTAACAAGCAGCTGTCGAGCCTGTCTCAGGCTTAGCAGTAAAGCGGGGTTTCAAATTACCTTTCCAATGGTGTTTTAAGCTCTGCGACCTGGTTATGTTAGATATCTATATAATGATATTACACCAATTTATGGCATTATTTGATAATTGGTATCATCTTGTTGTGTTTGTGCATTTTCTTCTTTATTGAATGCTTTTGACGTATGGTGCAATGGCCTATATTATATAGGCTTATTAATGGCCGGCACAATCACAAATGCGATACGTAATCGATTCAGCCTGAAAGAGCTCATGATTTTGACATTGTCAATGATTGATAGGACATCTGGAGGCTTATAAATCATCACATATATAATATTTTCATTTCAACTATTAATTTTACTATTTATAGGCAGAAAAGGCTGAGCAGCGAGAGCGTAATCTGGAAGAAGCGAAGACGATTACAATTGTGGAGGACTCCAGTTTACCAAAGCCTGAGAAGGTAAACTTAACTAGTGCTTAATTACAGGGCCATTGGTTAAGACTCAACAAAATACCAATAATTATCGGTACTAAAAACAACAACGCCATTCAATTTTCGTGTTTCTGATCTTCAAAAGGCATATCCTTGTTTAATTGTATCCGATGTGACCAACTATTAACTCAAATACAATACTTATCGTTTTTTTATACATTCAGTGTTCATTAATTTAGGCCTATATGTATATTGTTGAACATTTTAGAATTTCTTTTTTAAAGTTTAACTCAATTTATACTTCTACAGATTAAGATTCGAGATGCAACAAAAAAGAGGGGTATTCGCATTAAAGTACAAGGATGGGTACATAGGCTACGTAGACAAGGTAACGAATGCGTGAATTGAACTGTAAATTGTGTGTCTGGTTCAATCACACTATCTTCAAAACTTTTATACAACTAAAAACAAATTAGCCTTCATTAGTGTACATTTACAGATTTTGTATTTTCCCCAGGAAAATCTTTGATGTTTCTTGTGTTGCGTGATGGTACCGGATTTCTACAATGTGTCCTCAATGATAAACAAGTGAGTGTAATTCACAGTATTTATTATGCTGTTAATTTCGAATCATGTTTTAATTACAATATGCTTATTCGACTGGTTCATTTCGTTGAGTATGAATTTTCGTTGAGCATTATTTTCATTCGAATGGTTCGTAAAATAGACTTCGTTGACAACGAAAATTAACGTAAACAGAATGCGTTAAATTAAGCACGTGACCAAAAAAAATATAGCCGATTGGTCAATTTAGCAACAACATTTGCGTTAATATAATTTAGATTAAATTTCAGAAAATAAAAATTTTAATATTTACTCACTAATGAAGTAAAAAAATAATTGTAGGCTAACAGAATTCAAAAACTGGATGAAAACATTTTTTTAACGAAAAATCCTTATTACTGCCACAATCCAAAGCAGCTTGATTTACGCAGCGTGTATCGCGGTAACTATGCAGCCATTTGGTTTTGTCAAGTATTTACCAGTTTTCTATTCGACTGGTCGTCTGCATTAAGTAGGATTTTACCACTGCGCAGGTGGGCGTAATTTAACAAAGAACGACCAGTCGAATACGGCCATTGTTTATATATACATATATTCTTTTTTTTCACAGTGCCAAACATACAATGCTTTGATACTTGCAACGGAGAGTACCGTCACCCTGTATGGCGTCATTAAACCTGTCCCAGAAGGCAAACAGGTGAGTGGGGTAAACATACTGTAACATCCTCATCATTTAGGAGATTATCATCATTGTCAACATCAACTAGCAAACGTAAATTTATTAATTAATATTCATGTTTACTGTTGCTAGGCACCAGGAGGTCATGAATTGACATGCGATTTTTGGGAGCTAGTGGGATCATCACCAGCTGGTGGAATGGATAACGTTGTCAATGAAGTAAGTGGTCGATCATTATCATTAAATTATTATTATTATTATTATTATTATTATTATTATTATTATTATTATTATTATTATTATTATTGTTGTTGTTGTTATTAGGCCCTTAGATTATTATTATAACAACAAAAATTATTTAGTAACGTCATGATTTTCATGCTACAATAATATTTTCGGTGGTGTTTTCAGGAATCCCATATTGATGTTCAGTTAGATAACCGCCATATGATGCTTCGTGGAGAAACAGTAAGTTCATTTTTTATTACACGAGGTTCTACGGTCGTTCAGTCTAGAAGGGAGAACTCCTTAAAAAATATTGACCACGGTTACTTTAAAAGTTCATGTTGCCATTTGAATATTTTAAGTTGGAAATTAAGTAATTCAATAGTGGAGTTATTGAAATATGAGGGCTTAGAAACAGACTTTTACAGATGAAGGATTCATACCACCTTACGTCCACCATGGTTGGAGTCCTGAACTACTAACTATATTACGGCTATCAAATTGACCGGAAATGGCACTCTTAAAAAGAAATTCAAAAATTTAGGTGGAACACACACAATAAGTGAGTTAGATACATTATAATTAACAAAAAAAAACTATGACCAATGATGCACTAGTAATTTTAATGGTTTCTTTCAGCTTTCCAAAATAATGAAAGTGAGATCAAGACTAACAGCTTGGTAAGAATTAGATATCAGCAAACACATTAATTATATCCGTCCACCTCACATACCAAAGTACAGAACTCACAAATTGCGCCTAGGCCTACATGATGATCATTAACCAAAATTAGGGCTATATAGTATTATGGGCACCTATCTTGGATTATGTATTCTTAATCAGAAAGAAGGATTAGGTTGTATTCTACTTTGACTAATGCATCTTACCTTTGTATAAGCAAAAACCTTTTATTTATCATTTTGTATTTATAATGTTTATTGATGAAGTTGGTAACATATTTTTGCATTTTTAATGTGTTTTAGTTTCCGGCAGCATTACTTTGATAGAGGATATTACGATGTGAGTAATAAACATATTTATTGTAATTGCAATGTTAATAAAATTTGTATCACGATTAATTGCATAGGCCTACCATAAAGTCTGTCAAAACTAACCAATTTTTTAATAGCCTTTAAGATGTGTAGATTCAGGCCAGAGCAAGTAACGAAGTTCACTGATTTTGAGAATAGCGTCTGGAATTATTGTCTATTTTTATCATAAAGTAGCATAACTGATATGAGGTGACACTTTCCTAGTGTGTTTTCTTTTCATACAATTTTATAATCCATATTGCATTATGTTTTAAAGGTCTGTCCGCCAACTCTTGTGCAAACTCAAGTAGAGGGAGGTTCAACACTGTTTAAACTCAAATACTACGGAGAGGAGGTAAGATAAAGTATAGGCCCCTAATAACAAGGATGGCGGTAATATAGTGATAGCTGTTTTTGTATTTCATTAATTGCAAGCATACTAATTAAATAAATGATCGATTTTAAATTAAATTTAGGCCTATCTGACACAATCTTCTCAACTGTATCTTGAGACGGCTATACCATCGATGGGAGATGTCTTCTGTTTGGCTCAGTCATTCCGTGCGGAACAGTCCCGCACACGCCGTCACTTGTCAGAGTAAGTATTACTATTAGGCTATAGGCCTACTTGTCACTTATGTGAAGTACACATCACAGCATCAATGAAATACAATGCTACAATCACTGCTTATCACCATGTCAAACACTCATATTATATTACATAGTCTCCCTTCTAGGTTTATCAGAATATTTCACATTGTTTAACCTTTACACATTTACATCATTTTTATCGTTACTTTACGCGCTTCTGATATTTTTTTTAAATTGAAATATAAATATTAATATATTATGATTTTTGAGTAGTAGGTCTATTATTATTATCTTTACAACAATTGCTTATGTATTCTAGGTACACCCATGTTGAAGCGGAGTGTCCATTTATTACATTTGATGACCTGCTTGATCGTATTGAGGATCTCGTTTGCGATGTAGCTGAGCGTGTGATGAAGACACCGGAAGCAGAGTACATTAAAGAATTACACCCGGTATCAGTAATCTTTTTCATGCAATAATATATAGTATTCTTTATTTCATTTTTTCTTTAAACATTTATTAGTAATATTATGTATCTGTACTTATTTGCAGGATTTTGCTGTTCCAAAACGTCCATTCAAACGTATGGACTATGCAGATGCTATTAAGTACCTTAAAGAAAATGACATCAAGAAAGAAGACGGAACATACTACGAGTTTGGAGAGGTAAGCTTCAAAGTGTCTATATCCGGTTTAATTAAGATTTCATCGTTAACCAATAATCTATCTAACCAACTTCTTCACATACAAAGCTGGCGAGCCAAAATGAAAAAAAAAATAAAATTAAAAAATTAAAAATTAACTAAAATAAAATTTTTTTAAATCTAAAAAAAAATAAAATATTATAATATAATATATATATAATATTAAAATAATAATTATTATTATAATTATGATTATTATTATATTATATTATTTTAATATTTTAATATTAAATATTATTATTAAATTAAATAATTTAATAATAAACTAAAATACAGATATTTCTCTAATTTATAGAATATCATAATTTTAAACTAATATTTCAGTATTGAACTAAGAACAACTAAGATATCTTGTTATATATTCTTTAGGTTTGTTGATTTTATATTATTATATCTTAGTTTTAAATTAATTTATCTTAATTTCAGCAATTGTTTTATATCTTTTAAAATTCAGATAAGCTTATTTTACTTTTTAAAACTTTAAGATATCTCTATACTAGAAACAAATAGAAAGAAAGAAATAGAATATTCTGGAAATACAATAGAAAGAATCGAAAAAGAAGAAGGCACTATAGCTGCGAAATGGCACTTTCATATCAGACAATCTGCAACTTTGTGGAAATTTCAAATCCAAAAGTTCTATTTTCAAGCCAATTAAGATACTCATGTGTTATTTTATCAGTTCATTATTCTTTATGATATTTCTCTCCTTTAGGATATACCTGAGATGCCAGAACGTAAGATGACTGATAAAATCAACGAGGTGGGTATTTAGGAAAATTCCAGTGTTGGAGAATATGGTTTTTCCAAATGTCAAAAGACAAAACATTATTAGTTATTTTCGGATTATTGCAAAAAACTAAAGAAACCCATTTCTAAGAAAGCGTGGGACATTTATAAAATAAACCATGTAACAATTGTAAAATTATGCGGCGTCCCTCGCATTCCAGGGACCTTTCCAAGAGACTGAGGTTTCTCTTTGAGGAAATGAAAATGGACTTACCCTAAATTAACAACGGGCCTTTAAATACCTAGTTTCCAAGAGTATCGAAAGTATAAGATAAGATTAGATACAAAATATTTCTTGAAGGTTTGCATGGCGAGTACCAATAACAAAATCACAAAACTTCCGATACACCATGTGTAATAATATGGTCTTTGAGGTAAAACCACTGCTTGCTTATCTCGACGTTTCAGTGAGATTGCTCTGACCGTCATCAGCCGCTTTCCTGCCGCCCTTTTATTAGATACTATAAGAAAATTATTGATCCACAAAGGAAAACTTATTAAATTAAGTGACTTTGATTATTGATTTACAGAATATCTTTTACCTACACTTCCCTGAATGATAACATTAACAAGTTATAGGCTAACCTACAATTTAAAGATGTTGATTGTTTTTAAGTAGGCCTATCTGTTAGTCAGAGTGAAACTGTAACTTTCCAAAAAATATATAAACTGTGAATGTATTTTTATGATTGCCAGCCTATACTGCTGTGCCGCTTTCCTGCCGCCCTCAAATCCTTCTACATGCAAAAGTGCCCAGAGGACAAAAGGGTGACTGAATCGGTATGTACACACATACACATACGTAACCAAGAGAGTATTTCAAATACAAGTAATAAATATCTAACAGTGTTTAATCTTTTATACATTTTACTCTAATATATTATATTAATAATACATAGAAAGAAAAATGTAATACAATACCGGTAATGTATACAACAATATTAAATTTATATCTTTAATAATTGTATTTGACAAACCATCACTGTTGTATCCGTCAAAACTTGTTTGGTGTGTATAAGCACCTGCACACCTTTGCAGTTTAACAGATACCAAATAGACTTAAGCTACATTTACACTAGGCACGATAACGGCACGGCAACTACATATCATCGCGTGTTTATGTTCTTCAACACTGAGCGCATTTTATCATATCGTTGTCGTGTCTAGTGTAAATGTAGCCTTACATAGAGACATATAGTATATCCTACCCATATACAGACACACACATAATCAAATGCCAAAATACACATTGACAGATACGCTCATACATGGACACACAAAATACATATATTTAGGAATATAGGCTTACACTGATCTCATCAACTAGGTCTACCAAAGTCCTAATGTTTGTTAATGTGCGTTTGGGGGTTTTCAGGTTGATCTTCTAATGCCAAACGTAGGTGAAATTGTAGGGGGCTCCATGAGGATGTGGGACAGTGATGAACTACTAGAAGGTTACAAGAGAGAGGGCATTGACCCTACCCCATACTACTGGTACACAGACCAAGTAAGTTCAACACTATATATTTTCTCTCAAATAAAGTGAATGATTCGGAATAATAATAGAAATGCTAAACTACACGCATATCTCAGAGAAGAGGTTACACGTTGAGTATGATCTGTGTACAATGACCAAGTGGAAAGGCGCCTAGAGTACTGTAGTACTTCGGAAATAACATAAAATAATTGTAGAAAAAGAGTAGATGCTCGTCTCATTCCTAGTGTAGGCCTACTTATCAATTCAATTCTTGTTATGTAATGTTTCACTGTTGGTGTAGATCAACTGATATGCGAGTAAGACCATGTGACAAAATACAAAAAAAAAGGAATAATTAATAAATAATTTATAAATTATTTCTTCCGTTCTCTTCTGTAGAGGAAGTATGGTACTTGCCCTCATGGAGGCTATGGACTTGGTCTTGAGCGCTTCCTAACATGGCTTCTAAACCGCTACCACATCAGAGACGTATGTTTCTACCCAAGGTTCACCGAGAGATGCAAGCCATAAGCACGCCACTATTCTATGCTAAATATCATGCGTGGACAATAATATGTATTCCATCAATATACGGTAATACTATTTACTACCGGTCCAATTACAGTTTGCCCTTAAGTAGTTGTTTTTGTTTCATCCATAGAATTATCAACTCAATTTGTTTGTTGCTGTTATATTACAAATATGAAAACTATGAAATTCAATTATGAAATGCAGTTGTAGGTTCACATGCTTTTTTCGATGTTTAACAAATTATACAAAGCCTTTATAAATTAAACTGATATGTAAAAGAAACACATATAAAATCACACGATTACATTATTCAAAATACAAAAACAAATCGTGGGAAAACACAATTTTGAACAACTATTTGATTGTTGGTTACCACATCTAAATATATTCATATAAAGTACGGTACATAGGTTAAAGATTAGGCTATAAAATTATTTATCGAATGAATTAACTACTTGTTTAATATTGGAAAAAGGTAAATAGAAAAGACACGGACATTAACAAATAAAATGGAACATAAAACATCAAAATTTAAATATAACACAAATTCTAGTTTTAAGTACACATTGTAGTGTAGCTGGATTATATAAAAAAGTATAAAAAAATTTGTTGAAAATTGAATGTAATATGTTTGTCTTGTTCCTTTATACTAATATGAAGTGATACAATTAGATATGCTATATCTCTACTCAGTAGAAGTCCTTGTATTGTTTTTGATTTTTACATTGTTGAATATGATATTTGTAATCGTTATACTATAGGAATGAAATGTGTTTATATTGATTTTAGTTCATATAAAATTTGCATGAATATTTTAGAATAGATGAGTTTCGCATATTATGCGCACTATAGAATGTTGATTGAATTCCGATTGTCTAGCAACTGGCGCATTAATAATACATCCATATGTAATTAATTGGTAAACCACTGGTTCATCATAAAGGTATCATACTATACAATATAAAAAGAGTGGTTCAATGCAATTTAACTATTTCCGAGTAAAAAATCGCTCTTAAAAGTTCAATTGTTTAGACTCTTCCTATTTCACTCGCTTACACACTGTTTCACTTTATTTACTCGTTTGCATTTACAGAGTAATTTAATATTAAAAAAGCACTTATACATTAGTTCTTAGTACCTAAAAAATCGCTGCACTGCCGCTTCAGTGTGTTCACTAAAATCGTTCTACAGCGTAGCTGTCTCCGACCCAATTGGGGAGGCTCCCTAATTCGACCGACCAATCAGCGACACCAAAAGCTGTCGGCGTTAGCCTGTAGCGATTTTATGGAAACCAGGCTTAAGAATCTTATAAAATCGTCAATACACAATCATATTGCTACAGTTTTCAGCTTTAAAAAAATTTACTTCATGTCTGTAAAATAAATTCACAATATTTGAATAAATCGAGCAATTTAATTCAGTGTGCATTACATCTGTGTATTTTTTTTAATTTATTTTTACTATAGTTGATTCGCGCTTGTCAATAGTATATTTATTCGAACAAAATTTTGTAAGGTTTTCTTAATCTTCTACTGTAACTCCAGAAAACTAATTTAAGTGCCAACGTGTCTGCAACTCGGTTGCAACAAAGTTGAGTACCGTAACATGTGCTCACGTAATCTAACGGAATTAAGGGCAAGCATTACAATTACACAGTAATTCAATGTTTTAAAAAAATCAGGTTTAGTAGAGCGGCTAAGGTTGAATTTCAAGTAGAATCGTGCACTTCTGGAAGAAAGCATGAAACTTCCCACAGTGATACTATGACACCTAAAGATCATAAAAAATATACCCCCCCAAAAAACGCCTCCTAATGGCCACCATTTTGAAATCCAATATGGCCGCCCAAAATATTTGATTTTTAATATATATTCATATCTACAGCACATGTCATTGCTAATTGAAGATCATTACCCATGTTTTCAATATCAGGGAGTGTCATGCAATTATCAGAAATTATTTCAGATGGCGCCGCCATATTGGATTTCAAGATGGCCGCCAAATTATTGATATTTTTGTCAATATTCATATCTACAGTACATAGCACTGTCAATCAAAGACCGTTGCCCATGTTTTCGATATCAGGGACTACCATGCAACCATCAGAAATTATGTCAGAATACCACCATATTAAATTCCAAAATGGCCGCCATCTTGAAATTTAATATGGTTGCCAAAATAATTAATTTACAGCACATATCACTCCAACTGAAGATCATTACCCATGTTTTCAATATCAGGGAGTGTCATGCAATTATCAGAAATTATTTCAGATGGTGCCACCATATTTCAAGATGGCCGTCAAATTATTGCTATTTTTGTCAATATCTTATCTACAGCACCTAGCACTGTCAATCAAAGACCGTTGCCCATGTTTTCGATATCAGGGACTACCATGCAACCATCAGAAATTATGTCAGAATACCACCATATTAAATTCCAAAATGGCCGCCACCTTGAAATTTAATATGGCTGCCAAAATAATTAATTTTAGCCTGTGTATTCATATTTACATCACATATCACTCCAACTGAAGATCATTACCCATGTTTTCAATATCAGGGAGTGTCATGCAATCATCAGAAATTATTTCAGATGGTGCCACCATATTTCAAGATGGCCGTCAAATTATTGCTATTTTTGTCAATATCTTATCTATAGCACCTAGCACTGTCAATCAAAGACCGTTACCCATGTTTTCTATATCAAGGACTATCATGCAGCCACTGATCCGAAATTATGTCAGAATGCCACCATTGAATTTTAAGATTGCTGCCATACTAGATTTCAAGATGGCCGCCAAATTAATTATTGATAATGTTGTAAATATCGTCATATCTACAACAACAAGCACTGTCAAAGATCTCTACTCGTGTTTTCGATATAATAATAATAATAATAATAATTCTTTATTTGTCCTCGTATATGTATGCCTACACACTGGGAAATTCGGGCTGGGTCCCCGGGGACCCGCGGCTGCCATAGCTCGGCGCCAACTACCCCACTTACTCTACAACATCAAACGGATACAGACTGATACATACATGGTCCTAAACTCGCCTAACTCTCCTGAGAGGGTTATTCGAGGAGCTGAGCGTTTTGTTATTAAGACCCGAAATATCCGGGAGTATCATGCAGATCAGAGATTATGTCAGAAGGCCGCTATATTGAATTTCAAGATGGCTGCCATATTGCATATCAAGATGGCGGCCAAAATATTTTTTTTCCATATTTACATATGTAAAGTACCAGCACTGTGAATCAAGATTGTGTATATGTATAGGGATATGCAATCATCAAACATCTCATAATCATAGTGAGACCTGCCTATGGCAGTAAAGTAACACCATTTAGAAAAAAAAAAGTCCGACAACTGCCACGTTGGATTTCAGAATGATTGCCAATTAAGAAAGGTACGAGTCTCACTGCTGATTAATTATTCAATAGTTATCTGACGTCATTTTAGGCTTCCTACATTCTGATTGGCTAAAAGAAACATATATTTGCTTATGTGTACTGCAGAAAAAAAATACGCGGGCCGCGTCCCCTAAACTTTGATGTTTCCATTGAGCTTCCAAAATCCTCAAAGCACTGCTTTTACACCACTTTATTCTCAGTTTTTACTTTTTTACATAATTGGCGTCTGGCCGTAAAAATATATATACACAATAAATATACATATATAACAAAAGTTTCAGTCGTGACCATGTGGCTGGTGTGTCATCCCAGAACTATATCCCCACTATATATCACTTTGAAGGATGAAATAATCCCTTTTAGACAGGCAAAGACCGATCATATATAGTAAAACCATGGAGAATATCTTCTCCATGGTAAAACAAAGTAAGAAAGCTGATCAAGTTTGTACATTATGTGCAGAATGGTTGGATGTAAACCTATCAGTTTTTATTACGCTGACCTAATAATATGCACAGCCATTTTAAAATGATAAAGCCAACAAATCTTCCTCTAATTATAGCAAATTGATTTGAAAGTATACATTAATATACATAAATTTGTCAGGCAATTAAATATTTACCTAGCTAACATAGTTTTTATTATAACTTTATTATATTGTTTGCTTTCACTGTAATGTTTCAGTTATGTTTTAAATGATAACAGTAGGCCTACATTTAAAAAATGTGGACAGGAGTGCTTGCTATTTTTTCTATATCTCTAGGCTTTATATGCTATAGTAATAATAAGATTTTACAGTAAACATTATTGATATGAACATTTATTTTAGGCATAATTTTACTTCTTTTTACCTATTGCTTTTAGACTACTAAATATAGTTAAATAAAGTGTGAGATTTTTTGTTCATTGTATAAATTCACTTTATTCACTTGTTTCTTAACTATACTGTAAAAAAGTGCCGGGAACCAAGGAGACCCAGGCCTGTAATTAGGCCCCTGGACTAATCTTAAATATTAAATTAACTTTAAATAACAAAACTAATCTTAAATAAAAAAAAAAAACAAAACAACCTTCAGAAATCAGGCAAGAACAAGCAAAACAATGCACAAAACAAACAAGCAAGCGCCAAGCCGGGAAGAACGGTACAAATTATTCATCCCACTACGGGGAAATTTCATACAACAATGTGAAAAAGCAAAAGACAATTCACTGATGGTGATAATAATATTAGTAATAATAAAGCCATTATTATTATTATTATTATTATTATTATTATTATTATTATTATTATTATTATTAATAATAATAATGATAATAATAATATTCGAATAATTTTGTTCAAATAACTTAATTTAACTTCGATATAGGCTATTGTATAGAATAGATAAAATCTGAGTTCGAAGCGTTTCGTTTTTTATACCTTACACAAAGAAAAAATGTCATCGATACGATGATACACCACTATAATTTGTATTTGTATTGCTATTATTTTTACTATTATTATTATTATTATTATTATTATTATTATTATTATCATCATTGCTATTATTATTAATGCTATTATTATTATTATCATCAATGATATTATTGCTGTTGTTGTTATTGTTGACTATTATGTTGTATTCTAATAATTTGAAACTCACTGATGTTAAAAACACAGGTTGTGGAAGCCTAGGTTGCTCTTTTTAGACAGTGGTGTCACATTGGATTTTCCCAGTCTGACGACAATTGTCGAACAAAGAACATTCTTTTGCGACTGTCCCTTAAATTTAGTTTGAATAAGGAACTAGAATCAAATTTCATTGACATACTGAAAACAATAGCGTTCAGTGTTTGTTGGTATACTATTTTTAGTATGAAGTGCTTACATCTGCGGCGAGAATGAGGTCTGGTCTTTCTTACAGCTTCGCTTATGCTCAATAACCGTATTCATTTTCAATTTTATATTTAAGGTTCGATGTTGAATATAAGACAATAATTATAGAGACACCGGTTTTAGTCTAAACTTGTTTATTTCCTGTATGTACAACAGGTATATACAAGGTAATATCCGGGTATGTATGAATATTCATGAGTTACTAATAGTTCCTTAACTTTTACTTTCAGGCTGTTTCCAAGTATTGGTATGCCAGTTTGTTGGTCATTCACCTAGGCCTATACCACACTCAACAACATCAATCATCAATCATCATCAATATAACGATGGATCATTCATTATTCATTTATTTATTACAAATTTGTCACAATACATTTAAATATATATTGACCAGGGGTGTGTTAGAGATGACATAGGCAAAAGCCCAATACATTGAGTGGTCATCTCTAAACTCCTGTCTAATAACAAGCACAATACAATATTATAGTATATATAAAATATAAATAATAAAATAAATAAAATTACAGAAACGTTGATCAACTGTATCAGGAAAGATGATATATACAGTAGAACCTCTGCTTTGGGACACCCGTATTCAGGGGACACTTTTCCGTGAAACGAGGGGCAATATATTATTTTTGTTAACGCACAGCCAACCCCTAGTATAGGGACACCCCTATTAAAGGGACGGGACATTTTCTGAGTGTGCCAAATGGTCAAATAACCCCTATTAAGGGGACACTTATTTTTTTTCTTCGTTGAATCACAACATCTACAGCACTCTAAAAAGAAGGAAAATTCATTCAACTATACATTTTGACATCTTTTGAGAAATAAACAAAAATTTTCCCCTCCTTAATCCATGAGTGAATATCAGTATGGGCCTACTGCATGTGTTACTTCGTAAACCAATCTTGTCGATTTTGACTCTTAAATATGGGGATTTCTTTTTCTTAGTTTTTCGTGTATTTCATATAGGATTTTAATCCATATCAAAACATATTACTCTATTCATGCTACATCCATCTAATAGAAAGCTCTAATGGGATTGTTGTTACTTGTAAATAAACCAGTATTTATGTACCTTTTCAGGACATTTCACATACACATTACATACATATTAATCACATTATTATT